CCCCCCCCCCGCCATTTCTCGTTCCCCTTAGGAAACAGCTCATTGCAATGCAGTGCGGTAAATGCTAAGCTGGGACAAGCCGGGGGTGCCCAGAAAGCCATCCCGGGGACCTAACACTGACTTGGGAGTCGGTAGCGGCTTCCCCAAGCCACGGAGTCTAAGCCGAAGCCCACAGGATGGGTACACAGCAGCAAGGTCGGGGGAGAGAATGTGGGGAGGGAGAGAACTTCTAAGGAGGGAAACAGGGACGTCAACTAGGAAGACCTCGAGGCTCACATACGATACAGTGCACATCACCAGCAAAGAACCGTCAGGTCAATTTGAGACTGACTACTGGATGTACCTTTTCACAGTGTCCCTCTGCATAGGACTTCCTGGGTACAGTGGCCATGGTCAGCAAGAGCTGGTAGGAGACAAAAGATTTCCTGACTTCATGACCAAGCGTGGTGGTGCACGCCTGTGATCCCAGCCCTTGGGAGGCTGAGGCAGGCCGATTGCTGTGAGGCCAGTCTGGGCTACACAGTGAGACCCTGTCTCAAGAAAAAACAAAAAAAGATTTCCTGACTCTGATGACTTGCTCTACCTATCATTAACCCTGAGGTATCAAAGATGGTTCTGTAGGCAGGTCACAAAAAACCCACGTAAAAGTGCCACAAAGAAGAACCAGATTTTCTTTTATAACAGGAAAGCCAGTAACCCCAGGACAGCTCAGCACTCAGTGATGTCATCGTTACTGCACATTTGGTTCCAACGGGCTCAGCAAGCTGGCCAGCCTGCCCAGGCCCTGCCCTGCGATGTACAAAGGGAGAGGTGAGGAACGCTCCCACAAGTCCTGGCTGCGTCCCCTCTCAGTCCGTGAACCAGCCTCACTTCCCGGGGCGATGTCACCCAGCACCACCCACAGGGTGGCTTCACAGTGCTGCCCTCACCGTTCAGGAAGACGAAAAGCCGAAATCAAGGCGCCGGCAAGGCTGTGCTCTCTCTGAAGAGCAGGGAGGATCTGTTCCTAGGCACTGACTGCCTTCCGGCGTTGCTGGCGGCCTCGGGCTTCCTGGCGTCAACACACACTGCAGTCACGTGGCCTCTCCTGGCCGCATGTCTGCCTGCGTCTCTCGGGGTGTTCTCTTCTCATCAAGGCCCGAGCCATGTCAGACCAGGGCCCCTCTCCTGACCTCATCCTAATCCTACAAACAGCCCGTTTCCGAACCTGACCACGCTTACAGATGCCAAAAATTAGGACTTCAGCGAGGCGTTTTAGGGGTACAGCCTGCCCGTTCCAGGCGGTCTCTGGTGCCGTTGGACGTGGTCCAAGGCCACTGCAGACAAGCCCACCCGGCTGCAGAGGGGTCCCACAGCCACCCAAGACTGCTGGTGCCTGCCTGGAATTTGATTTAATCTGCAAGAAGAGGGACCCACACTCCTGGGGGACACAGATCAAGGACACGCGGTGTGAGGACGCAGGGAGGAGGGACTTACCTTCCGGGTAAGAACAGAAGCCTCGTGAGAACCCTGCTGGCACCCGGACTCCCAGCCTCCGCAACTTGGAGGAAATAAAGTCCTGTTGTTTAAGCCACAAGGTTTATGGCATTTTGTCATGGCAGCCTGCACAAGCTGAAACAATTCTCAGTGTGATCTTCTGTGTTATCCCTCTCAGGTTGTCAATTCTCATCAGTAAAAGCCAGTTGCAGCTGGGCGTGGTGCTGCATGCCCATGATCCAGCGATCAGGAGGCTGAAGCAGGAGGATCAGCATGAGTTCAAGGCCAGCTAGACCTTGCCTCAAAAAAAAAAAAGAGAAGAAATCAGTTGCATCTGTTTTGACAATGACTAGAGGGAAACCCACACAGAAGCACAACCCTCCCATTCTATTTTTTTTATTAAACTCATTTATTTCAATAGAATAAAATAAGCAGCAGCCTTCCCATTCTAAAGCACCACTTCAAGTACAGGTTTCGATCATTACATTGCAGAGGAAGTTTGCTCTCTCCAGTGTAGGCAAACCACTGCTGCTGAACGCAGATTCACCTAGGACTCCTTTCCCTCGGAGTCGCCCCGCCTTCCTCCCCGCTTGTGTGCTGCATTACACTTGCCCTGGGACAGAAGTCCTCCTCGGCTGTCCCTGGGAGGAACGGCCTCTCTCTCTCCTGCTGGCGATCTGTGTGTGCCCTGTGACCCTGTCTAGCAGTGCAGCAGGAGCCAAGGATGTGCGGGACCCAGCATCCCCTGCGTGGCCCTGAGACGTGACTGCTTCCTGACCTGCTCCCTGAACCTGCCTCACCCAGCCCTGCTCTCCGAGGAACTTTGCTACTCCTGCCTACGAAGACAGCGTCAGAAAAAAGTAATCAGGGCCGGAGACCCTGCAGCCAAAGTCAGGGAGTCGCCGGCTGTGTGAATAATGTGCGCCTCGTTTCCTGTCTTTCACTGGCGGTGCTGGACCATGAAAGCAAAAGAACACAGAAACCAAAGGCTCCCTTCACAAACTGCCCGCCCAGATCTGAGATCAGCCCACGGATCTCGAGTCTCAGCCCTGCTGGCGATCTGTGTGTGCCCTGTTGCTAGGACGCAGAGGAAGGGGTGCCCCAAATGAGGAGCCCGTCCCTTTGAAAGTGCCTGGCACGCTCCCTGAAGAGGAAGGGCCTGTCACGGCTGCCAGTGGACCTCCCTGAGCGCTTGGCAGGAGCGGAGGGGCCTGGGCCAAGCCAGAGTGTGCAGGGTGAGCTAGGCTGAGCACAGACCGGGGCCCCGGGCACGCTCAGGTCAGCTCTGCTGTGTTTTGTTGTTGTTGTTTTGTTCATCTGTTTGTTTGTTTTGGGGGTTTTTTTGAGGCAGGGTGCTATGTAGCCCAAGCTGACCTCCCAAGCAAATCATAGCGATCCTCCTGCCTCAGCCTCCCAAGTGCTGGGATTATAGGCATGTGCTACCACCCCAGGTTCATTCTGCTGTGTTTCTGTCTCTGCCTATGGCCTTCCTCCAGCTGGAGACTGGATCCTCCACGCCTCATTTTCTACTCACTCTCCTCCTGCAGCACCCAGCCGCCTCCCTCGGACCTCGCCGCCTTACTCTGAATCCCTCCTGTCGCTCTAGCCCCGCTCCTCAATGGCCTCCCACCAGCCACCCTGTCTCCAGGCTTTGGCCACTGCACAACATCCTTCTGGTCGATTATCTCCCGCGATGGGCCTCGTTATAGAAGACAGAAAGCTGCCAGGCCTGTGGGTGCACACCTGTGACCCCAGCACTTGGGAGCTGAGGCAGGGGCTTTGCCACAGGTTCAAAGCCGGCCTGGGCTACATAGTGAGTTCTGAACTACAAACAGACCAAAAAAAAAACATTGCAGGAAGTGTCTAGATGACGTCAGCGTCCTTTCTCCAAAACCTCCAGCAACTCCCTGTTACTGTATTTTCTGTCCAAACCCTTATTATGGTGTCCACAGCGCTCAGCAATCTGCTCCTAAGTCACCTTTCCAGGCTGACCTCACGTTGCGCAGAACATTCCTCTGTTCTGCGGGACTCCAGGCTGGAGCCTCCCCCGCCACCCCATCCCTCCAGACTGTTCAAAGCCAGAAGCCGATTCACATCCACTCCACTTACTTGATCAACAAAGTAAGCCAAGCGTCTCCTTCTACCTCCTTCCGGAATCAGTCACTAACTGTGTGCCTGTGGTCAGAATCCAGAAACAGAACCTGGGAATGTGCATTTGAATAAGTTCCTCTGCTCTTCCCAGCCACATTGCAGCTTTAGGAGTGACAGTCTCCAGTCCAATTCCTAAGGAGTCCCGAATTACAACATCTGCGTTCACAAAGCATGTTCCATACAGGCTCACATTTCATTTTGCAAACATTCCCAGGAGGTAAATATTATAAATAGATGTCTCCATCACATAAGGAAACCGAGGCTCTGTTAAAATTCGCATAGATTAAAATTTAACTGCATTCAGAGCACCTCTGCTAGGCTCTCTGCAGAAAGGAGGAAAATGCTAAGGGGTTACAAAACTGTGTTTGAGGCGTGGCCGGGCCGGAAGGGGTCTCCGGCTTTGTCTTTTACCATCTCGAACACACCTCTGTGTGAGAACAGAGGCCACGAGCTCCCGCCAGCAATCACTGTAAGTTCCCGAGATGGAGTAGCAGCCAATAAGAAGTCAAGTCTTCTGCCAGAGCGGACCGAAGCTGCTGAGCAGGGTTCCGCGCTCCGAGCCAAGGGGACGGTGCGTGCTGCCAAAGCAGGGCCGGGGACGCTTGCTTTGCTCAGCCTCACAGCCAACAGGTCAGGACAGGCTGTCCTTCCGGGGGTCTCTCCTGTCCTCACGGGTGCTCCTTGTGCCACATTTTCAGAAGCAGCACAGCAGGGACAAGGGATGCTAGTGTAATTATAGCAGAATGGATGCGGAACAGCAACTTCAAAAATCTCTGCCGACGGTGCTGGCCTGGGAGGCACACGCTGTGCTGGGAAGGGCAGGGGCCGTCGTGAGAGAGAGGAGGAGCGGCTGAGCAGCCCCAGGCAGGCAGGAGAAGGGGAGCCGCTCCCGCTGCGCCCAAGTTTTCCTGCAGCCCAAACTCTGCAGGCAGCCAAGTGCACGTAGAGAGAGTGCACAAAATCACAAGCTTTCCACATCTTTTTTCTTTTTCTTTTTTTTCTTTTGTCTTTTTGGGACAGGGTCTCCCTGTGCAGTTGAGCTCACACTGTAGCCCAGGCTGGTCTTGAATTTGAAACAATCCTCCTGCCTCAGCCTCCCAAGTGCTGGGATTACAGGTGTGCACCACCACACCTGGGTTTCCATGCTTTATCTCACTGTTCCCCAGACTTGCCTTACTCAGCAATTTGCATTGATGCTAAACCAGAGTAGCTCACAGCCGGGCATGTGTGGTGACACACACCTGTGGTCCCAGCACCCAGGAGGCTGAGGCAGGAGGATCACAGTGATTTTGAGGTTAGCCTAGGGTATATAGTGAGTTCAAGGCCAGCCTGAACTATGTAGTGAGACCCTGTCTCAAAAAACAAAAAATAAGACTAGTGTGCAAAAAAACATACAGTTACTGTGTCCCTGGTAGTATATATGATGCCAAGTAGCTGCACTTTAAGGGAGAATTCATGCTTTATCCTTAATCCAAATCTTTTTTTATTGTATCAATTTACACCAAGAAAAATGTATAAAAAATTAATTGTATGTGTTTCCTGTGGTATGGGAAGAGCCCACATTTTGAACTGGGTCAGACCTTTCTCCAAATCTGATGTTAGAAACTTAAGCACTTTTTACAGGAATAATGTACAGCATCCCAGGACTTTAGCTTCTTTATCTGGCAGGAAGATATTCTAAGTTTTAGAGTTGATGTATAAAAATATCAGGCCCCACAAGACAGGAGGCGTCAAAATCACTGCTGCCCGACTCACAGACTGTTGTCCCCCGCTTAGTAATTCTCTTAATTTTAGATTTCGATGGCCCACGTCCCAGGACTCTATTTTGGCCACCCCGGTGTGAAAAGGGTTGGGATGGATGTCCTCAGCATTATGAGGCATTTTTCCTAGGACGGAGACAAGCTATGCTGCATTATTCATATCCTCTTACCAGCTCTTTCTTGGGTTCAAGGATACTTAATTGTTAATGAGCAAAGCTTGGCTTAGGAGGCCAAGCATCCCTATTGGTAAAATCCAGGTCCTGCGGTCCCCTGCCTGATTTAATTTCAGCTCTGACCTTAGGCATGGATGGATGACCTTGGGCAAATTAGTTCCGTGCCTCAGTTACTACTTCACAGGGCTGAGATAGAGAATAAAGAGGCAGCTTCGGGAGCTGGGTGTGGGGGCGCAAGCCTGTAATCTCCACACTGATTTCCACAGTGGTTGCAGCAATCTATACCAACCCCCCCAGCAGTGGAGAAGGGTTCCTTTTTCCCCACAGCCCCTCCAGCATTCGTTACTAGTTGATTTCTTGATATTAGCTATTCTTTGTGATGTGCATGGAATCTTGGTGTTATTTTAATTTACATCTCTCAAATGACCAGTGATATTGAACATTTTTTCATATATTTATTTGCTGTTTCTACTTCTTCACCTGAGAAGTGTCTACCTCAGATGCTCACTTTTGGATTGGGCGTCTGAAATTTGGTGGGGTCTGGTATTTTGAGTTCTTTATGTATTCTAGATATTAGTCCTTTGTCTAAGGAGCAGCTGACAGAACCCCACCCCCACCCCCGGGGAACTATGGGTCAGCTCCTTTGTTTCTAACTGTAATATTTTCACTGGGATGGTTCTGGGCATGTGTCTTGGTTTCTTTTCTCTCCTTGCTGAGACAAAATACCCAATGCTCAAAATCAAGGAAGGAGAGGTTATTTAGCTCACAGTTTGTGGAGGTTTCAGTCCATACTCAGCTGGCTCTGAGGCAGGATGGTGTGGCTGGGGAGCAACAGTTCCTGGCAGCAGAAGACAGCAAGAGCAGCGAGAGCAAAAGCGGGGGAACAAGGCTCCTTTCCCTCCTTATATTGAATATCGACCACCTCCATGCCCTCCTCCTGCACAGCCTCGGGATGAATGCAAAGTAAGGGCCCTGGCCCTCTGCAGAGTCACACAGTTAACCTCCTCAACTTCTCAAGTTGACACAGTGAACAACATCCTAGAGCAAGAAGGGCGTGTCCTTCCCACCGCAGGATGTAGAACTGCTGAGTTACTTAGTTAAGCTTCCAGACTCCTCCAGGTGACACAGCGTATCAGCCATAACCTGGTGCTGCTAACCACATCCTGATGCTGTACACTGAGACCAAAGAGAGACCAGCAGGGCCCCGTGGGACTTCTAGGCTGTCTCAGAAGGGTGTTCAGGGAGCTGGGGCTCAGCAGCAGCAAAGCCTCCAGGCCACGGAAGACCTGCCTCATCTCCATGACAACAGGGAGGGGCGTGGCTAGCTACGGCTTACTCCTCCCTGCCCCAGTCTGACACGGGATGCACAGTGTCACCCCTCCGTCCCTGCACTGCAGGTCTCTTGTCCCGGTCCTCTGCCTGGCTGTTACCTGCGGGGTCTTTGGTTCGCCTCCCAGCTCCAATTATCTGGCCCCCTTGTCCCCATTAATTTATTTGTACTTGTCAGAACCCGTGCCCCAGCTTTTGGCTTGGACAACCGAGTCCCTTAGGAAAAGCCACGCGTGCTGTCATCGGCCCGGACACAGGTGTCAGGTCGCATGGGTGCGGGCGGCCTTCAGACCCTGAGCCAGCACAGCCGTCATCTGCTCTTCCAGCCCCAGCGTCACGGACTCTTCTGACAGCTCCCCAAACCCTGGGGTCTTAGCAAAACTAGATCACGAGGCGACAAAGGAAGGAAAGGCGCCCAGGCCGCAAGAGCCGCCCCAGGTGCCTCCGGGTCGAGCTGGTTTCACCCAAACAGCGGTCTCGGGCACTGCCTCTTTCCCTTCTCTCCAGTCCCCAGGACTCCATCGGGAGGCGTGGAAAAGGCTGTCCCTCATCAGTACCCCGGCAGCCTAGCCATCAGAGTCTTTTCCCCCGGCCTGCAGCGGCACTCCCCTCGGAGGGATTCCGCTCTATTCCTGGTCCTCCCTGGGATTCCCTGCAGCTGACGAAAGAGAAAATGATGAACGTTCTCAAGCTAAATTGGACGGCGTGGTGGCACCGGTCACTAGCACACACGTACACGGCCCACATTCGACAGCGTGTTGGCTCGGCAGTGCTATTCTTAGGGGACCGGGCACTGGGTTTCAGAGGAAGGAACGCGCAGGGCCGCGAGATTCGAGAAGCAGACGTCCACTCCGGGAAGGATGCGCTGTTCTAACCTTTTGCACAGGTCCACCGTCCCCAAGGCTCGGGTTCCACACACTGCGCCCAGGGCAGGGTCTGTTACCTCGGGCAGGTTGCCTGGCTCGGTGTCACCTTGGTCGTCCAGAGCATTGGGATGTAAAAATAACCTCGTCGCTGAACTGGTGCAGGGCTCTGCACCAACCCTCTCATCTGACTTCCCACATAGCCTGTGTCCCAGTGGACGCAGTGAGCCGAAGTCGCCCACACCCCTTGCGTTAAGTTCACTGTTGCTTTAGGCGCGCGTGGAAGCCTTGGCTATGTGGAGGAAGAGGTCGCAGGGACCCTTCCCAGGAGCGGGGCGGTGCAGCGAGGTAGTACGGTTGCAATGGACGTTTAGTTCAGCTGGGCCAGAACTACTTACCAACTGCACAGTTCATAGTTCATAAAGTTTCCCTTGCCTGAACCTAAGAAAAACACCCTGCTGAAGTTGGCGTCATCGTTATTTTATACAGGATGTGCGGTGGACTGACAGCTGGTGGTCAGCTTGTGACATGCAGCTACAGTGAACCAGCGTGGTGCTGGGTGTGGAGGCCCCGCTGAGGATTGTTGCCAACAAAGTGAAAAGAATAGGAGAAAAAGAAGAGAAGCTGCAGGGAGCCGTTGGTTCTCCTGGAGGAGCTCGCTGTGCTGGCTTTGCTGATGAACTCAGCTGTTCTTATCATGGGAGCTCAGGACCCTGCTGTCACTGAGGATGGCTGTGGTTCACTTGGGGGAGCTCTGGTCTTTGCTTTGAGCATCGCTTCCTGGCCCAGGAAGGGAAGATGGTGCACTGTCCAGTCTCCTGGAGAAGCTTGTTGTGCTGGCTTTCCTGATATTAATCTGGTTGTTTTCACAGTTGGAGGAGCTCGGGACCTTGTTGTGACTGAGGATGGTTGTGGTACTTTTCGGGGCAGTTACCTGGAGCATCGCGTCCTGGCTCCAGTGCAGATCCCTCAGCCTGCTGGCACAGACCCTTCATCCTGCTGGCACAGACTTTCTAGCTTCCACCACTGACCTTGGGGTCTTCCCAGTGTAGATCCCTGAAACTGGCCTGCATGAGACATTGTCATGGGCTCCAGGCCTCCAGTTGGACTGGTGGGTGTGGGGGACACTGTTACAGGCTCTAGGTCTTTAGCTTGACTCATGCAGGACATTACTATCAGATCCAGGTCCTCAGCTGGATTTTTTTGGTCTTTAGTGTGGGGATGGATTTCCTGCACTCTCTCTGTGTGTGACTCTTTGGGTGACAATTATGAAATAATCCTATAAATTATGTGTCCTGTATTATTTCCCTTGTAAAGCCTGACTACAACAGGATGAATCCAAGTTCCAGAGAGGCTAGGAAACTGCCCAAGATCACAGAGCAGCAATTTGAATAGGTTCCTCTCACCCCAAGCTTCATAATGCTGATGCATTTAGCAAGCACAGATCAGTTCAACTGTTAACTTTCTCAAGAGATATTTTTATGTTGCTTTCCAGGTTTCATTTGGGCATCAATAACCAAAATATTTGAAGCACAGTGCAGTAGTATGGGTCTATAGTACCTGCTACTCAGGAGGCTGAGGCAGGAGAATTGCATAAAGCCAAGGGTTCAAAGCTAGCCTCGACAAAATAGCAAGACCAGTCTCTAAAAAAAATTTTTAAATACAAATAACCAAAAATGCTCTATTGAGCTACAAGGATTCAGAGTCCAAGTGAGGCAAGAGGAGGTCAGAACCAGGGATTCCAGTTGAGAGTCCCGGGTAGGCACATGTTAGTCAGCCCTCAAATATTTCATCATATAGTGCTACAAAAAAAAATATTTATCTGGAAGGTAGACCCTTGGAG